TAATTGTGTATGATTGATGTCAAGTATTTCACATACCAAAATGAATGGTCTACATGATTTTGATTTCAGGAAAACCATTAAGATCCATATGGCTTGCCAATAGATTGAGAGTCATTACTAATCACTCATCCTTAAAGAGTTGGCTCATATGTAACAATCATTATTGAGGAGAAAGAGGAGGATGAGAAAGAAAATAAAATTTTCCAATCTCACCTCCTGAGTGAAAAAATGCATTTGAAGTCATAAGTTGCTTCAAGATTAGAGAGTCGATAACATAGTCTAATGCCCTATTCAAACTAGGCCTGCACCAACAATTAAAGGTAAGGTAATAGTTGGGGAAACAGTTCTTGCATTCAAGCACTTAAAAAGGCAAAGAGTTTAGGAGGACCCTAAGGAAAGGGAGAGGTCCTTGACAGGTGCCCCTCTTAAATTCTCCTCATGGGACATGTTATTTTCGGGGATTGCAACTTTTTGATGAATGTGGTGAAGACCAGGGTTCTGGTGGATTTGACTCAAGAATGGATGGTTGACAATGTTTATTCATGCAAAACCTTCTAGCTAAGTCTAATCATCTCTGAGATTTTGAGAGACAAAAACCATTATTGAAAAGCATGGGTTTCATTTACCACTTATGAAGAGCATGATGATGTCCTTGCAATAGCCTTCTATGATTTTCCTGTTGCATTACTCACTCCTCAGAGAACAAAAAAGGCTGCAATCCATTTCTATAGAGATAATGAAGAAGGTTTAAGCCTTAAATAAGTAGAAGGATGAGATATTGGCGAAGTCCACAGGGTACTCATGCTAGTTATCCTCATATAAGGCACAAGTGAGGGAGTTGGAGGGCAACATGGTCAGACGACAAGCTTCAAATTACTACCATGGAGGGTGACAAAGTTCAATTGTAAGGCCAACGAGCTAAAGATTACTTCTTTTATGTTCGTAGTATTGAAATAAGGATCAAACAAATTTTGAATATTTAATTTTTTAAATAACTAAACACAATATCAAAAGTAATATACCATTTCAAAAAATGAAAATATCACTTTGATAGAGTCAATTATTTAAATGAAGAAATTTTGGATATTGGTATGCTCTGCAATATACCAACAGATCCTTCCTCCACCTAATATAAAGACTAGGTAGGGTTTAGATTAATTTGGGTTGCTATTATATTAAAAAGACAATCCCCTATAGTTAATTATATCTTAAAAAATAAAAATGTTTAAAAAACTCTTAATTAAATTTGTTCCAACTTGAAGAAAATTATAAGTTCAATTTTCATGATTAATTATTTAAAATCAAATAGGAAAGCTAAAAAATGAAACATTTGTTCATGGAACCCAAGGAGGAAAAGTAGATGTTGAAGATATTGAGAAAACTCATCTCAACTATCCTGTTATTTGGCATTATTGATTTTGGAAAGAAATTTATTTGATGTTTCAGTTGAGATTTTATTAGAAATTTATGACTTATATCATATGATATATAATTGAGAAAACCTAAAAGGTGAGGATTTGAATCATAAATGGATGAGCAACCTCAGAATTCTAAGATGAAAGTGAGGTTTACCTAAAGAAGTAAACCTCAAAACCTCGTCTAAAGAAATAAAATACAATAAACACCCTCCCTTGAGGTTTGGCATAAATCCACTTTAAATGGAGTATGGTGCCCTCTCCACAATCAGATTCTAGAGTAAATATGAGTCCCCGTGTGTTTTAACAAGGACCTGAACACTTGACTAGTCTTAAGGTAGATGTGAGTCTCAGTGCTTTCTACTTTAAGCTAAAAATCTCTTTTTTCTCTTTTCTTTTTTTTTGTGGATTTAAGATATTTTCTTCTTTGAAGAATCCCTTGTTACCTTTTGTCTTTTTCACTCTTTCAATCTCACTTGGTCATCTTTTGCCTTTGCTTTCCCCAACTGAAATTCCATATAATTCCATAATCCTAAAATTTAAAACAAATTAAAATCCTAATATTCAAAACTAAATCAAAACTAAAACAAAATCAAATTTTAAATTAAATCTTCCATCGATTCGGAGTGTTTTTACTAGAACATTCTTTGGATCTTGTTGATCAGTTCAGTCAATGCTAATACATACATTATACTTGTCCAGTAAACCACATCTATTATGGGTTCATTTATTGACCCCATGTTTGCATGAGGTCTATATTTACCTTTCTCTCTCTAAAGAACTCAGAATTTAGCCTTAGGATTTCCTTAATGTCTTATCCTATAAGATTAGCAATTGGACCAATGCCAAATTAAAATTTGAACTTTTTTTTTAACTCCTTATAGATTCATAAATTTGACCTTGAATCCTTAACCTTTGGGTGAGTTGATTGAGGTCAAATAGTTGAATCTTAATTTGGTTTCCTATATGTTTGTAATTTTCGTAAGTAACCCCTTAGCCCTTGAGACTTGGTCTTCTAATTTGTCTTTCCTTTGGGCATTTTACACTCTCTTTCACCACTTCTTAGATAACTCTGTCTTTAGTTAATAAAGAGCTTATTTGGATATGAGGTTCCTATTGAACTATGAGAGAGCTTATTTCTTAATAAAGAAGAAAATTGAATAAAATCACAAAATTTAAAATATAAAATTCATTAAGACTATGAACTAAAATTTTTAAAATTAAACAATAAAATGAAAAAAAAGAAAATAAGATTTTAAGATCACTAAGATATCAAAAGTTTACTAAATAAAAAAAATAAAATAAAAATAATAATATTTGAAAATAAGAAAAATGTAAATAAAACTTCATAATATAATAAATTTACATTAAAATTTTCAAAGAAAACCAAATAATCAATTTCACATAATAATCCATTATTAAAATTTAATAAATAGAAAATACAATTACAATAATATTTCACACACTCTCCCTCACCACTTTCTATCTTCCCTTAAAATTTGTTTAAATTCACTTCAGAATTCAAATAAAATTTTTTCGAACTTATTTTTTTTCACTAAAATATTTCATAATCTATTCAAAATTTCTACACAAATAAGCACAATTTTCAAATCACTATAATTTTCATAATAAAATCAATTAAACAAAGATTTTCACTCACCCACACCCCCTTCCACTTACCAAACCATTTCAAACCAAAATCCTCCAATTCTAGCCTCTCCATTGGCCCATATATCACACCAAATCTCACCCAAATTTGGCCACTAAATCAATAGCCACCACTTGCCAAATCGAAGCCATCCTAGCAAATTCTAACCTTTCAAAGCCATGCCATCTTATGATCAATTTTAAGCTACCTTCTCAAACCTTCTAGCTCGCTTCCATGCACAAATATTCTATTAACTTAGATAAGCCAATTGCAAGCCTACATCAGGCCATGTGGAGCCAATTCCAAGCCATTTTCAAGCTTTGGTGAGCCATTTCCATGATAACCAAAAACGCCTTCATACACACCAAATATTGATCCAACCACCTTCACACTTGGTCACACTCGATTAGTTCAATCCTAACCAAATCCAACTAATTAGACAGTGAAGAAGTGCACCCAAGCTCAACCCAACTCCCATCAATCTTCCTTGGGAAGTCAAGCCATTCTCAAAATTCACGGCATGCCCCTATAGGTATCCCACCGAAATTTACTTTCCACATGACCAATTCTCGTTGGTCATTGAATGTTGACCTTGCCACATCATCCCCACACAAATTATTGGTGCACTTAACTAGTGTTGAGCCCAACCCGAGCCCTTGAGCCTATAAATGCTCCTTCTCAATTTGAAATTCAAAGCATTAGATCCCTTGACAAAGCCCTGCCAAATTGCACTTAGAATACTTAGCAAATCTCAAGCCTCATGTCCCCATTATTTCCACTTCAATCCACCACTAATTTACAACCATTAGAGCTTGTCCATACCAAGATTCATGCTGATCCTATTTATTACTCATTGAATTCCTTATTTGAACCTTGCATTAGCTTTCATGACCTTAAAAACATTTTCAAATGCCCTCTATTCTAAGCTCTCTAGACCACCTTAAGACCAACAATGGATGATATTGATCAATTTCACACAGGGAGTTGAAGGACCTTCAATTGGAGCTCTGAATAAGTTCATGGGATTCAATCAAAGGTGACACAACCATTGAAACAAGAAAAAGCTTCTCATGTGAAGATGTTCATCAAAACTAAGAGATTAGGCTCAACAACTGGCTATTTCTTAAGAGAACTTGCAATCCAAACAAAACGTTTCTGATCACAGACGACACGGTTATCCATAGTGCGTATTTCGGGTCCTAGAGAATTAAACTTAGGAATCATGTGCTTTCCCACCGATCATGTGTTAACCGTTAAAATCTGTGTTTTCCGACCGATCTTGGCTAGTTGCGGTGACAGCTTTATAGCTGCAGTCTCATTTTTCTTAAAAAAAATTATAATATCCACCACAGCTTTTTGAACATCATATTATGTTTTAGCAGTTTTACAACTGCTTTCAAATGAGTTACAACTGTCACAAACCGATCCTAACACTAATATATTTGTGCTAAACCCACTCACCCAAAAAAAATTAAAAAGATTAAAAAAATAATAAAAAAGTAAAAAAAAAGAAAAAACAAAACGGTTCTGATCACGGACCACACAGTTATCTATAGTGCGTATTTTGGGTCTTAGGGAATTAAACTTAAGAATCATGTGCTTTCCCATCGATCATGTGTTAACTGTTGAAATCTGTGTTTTCCAACCGATCTTGACTAAATGCAGTAGCAGCTTTATAGCTTCAGTTTCATTTTTTTTTAAAAAAATTATAATATCCACCACAGCTTTTTGAACATTAGATTATATTTTAGCAATTTTACAATTATTTTTCAATGACTTACAACTGTTGCAAATGGATCCTAACACTAATATATTTGTGCTAAACCCACTCACCCAAAAAAATTAAAAAAATTAAAAAAATAAGTAAAGAACAAAACGGTTTTAATCACGGACGGTGGCACGGTTATCCATAGTGCTTATTTCGGGTCCTAAATGTGGTCGCTTAGAATGCGTGAACCGCCAATGAAGATATTCGTAAGTCTCTAGGCGGAGTTCTGCGGTGCACTATCATCTTTCCATCAGTCTGGAGAGAGCCCCGTTTTGCAGTGAGAGATAGAAAGTGAGAGATAGAGAAATCAATTGTGCCTCTGAGAACTGAGGAGATGTCGAGGAGATGGGCGTTTTTCCGCAGTTTTTCCAGTGCTTCGATTTCGATTGATCTATGTGGTGTGTCGCGGTGGCGGCCGCAGGATGATGTCGAGGCGGCTTCGTGGCCATCAGAAGTGGAGGGAGAGGAAGTCGTGGGCGCTGGTTATCTCGAATCGGAGAAAGACGGGTGGTCGCGAATGCTTCCGGAGCTGATGGTTGATATTGTAAGTAGGTGGAAGCAACCGATGAGCGGTGGCCCCTGCGGAAGAACGTGGTTTCCTGCGCTAGTGTGTGCCGGAAGTGGAGAGAGATCACCACCGGTGTTGTCGGATCAACAAGAGAGTCTGGAAAGATCACTTTTCCTTCTTCTCTTAAGCAGGTCGGTCATTGATTTCTCCATCTAGGGTGAATTAGGGTTGCAGTTTCTTTTTTTGAAATAGGGAGAAAAACATTGCTGTGAATCTGGAAGGTGTGGATTGATGATGCTTTTGGTCTTATTTTTGTTTTGATTCAACGAATTCGCTGAATTTGTTTTGGTTGTTTACTTAATGCAGCCGGGCCCGAGTAATTTGCCTATCCAGTGTTTTATCAAGAGGAGCAGGAAGGACTCAATGTTCTATCTCTATCTTAGCTTAACCCAGAGTAAGAAAAAACCGGCAATTGGCTTTTTTGCATATATTAAATATCTTTTCGAAATAAGAACTTTTATTTTGCTGACGCTGAGTTACATGGCAAGTAATACGGTTCAAAGAATCATATGAAATTTCAAATGTTTAAAAAAAAAGTTAATAAGGTTCAAATTATTTAGATGGTTCTGATTTTCTTAATTGTTTACTTGTGAATGACCTCGCTTTAGTAATCTTTGGGCATGTCTTCCTGTTGCTTTTCCTGTTCCATATCACTATTAAAAGTAGTTAATAATTCCTTTATGGTAAGAAAGGCAGAGGTAGACCTAGGATGACTTGGGCTTATTGTATAAAAAAATGATCTTAATTTATTAGAACTAAATGAAAATATGACAATAAATAGGACGCACTGGAGCAAAAGGATTCATGTAGCCAACCCCACGTAGTGGGATTAAGTCTTTGTTGTTGTTGTTGTTTCTTTGTGTTCAATAGAGAAATTATACAGTGGCATAATAGAAGGAACCATCCTAGAGGTTTCAAATTTCATTTGACCAAAGGTAATTTTGAAGATGGTTTTTATAAAGTACATGTTCATGAGGATTTTGTCTATTTGAAAGTTAGAAATCCATGTTAGGATGACAATTGCATCATTGCAGGTATTATCTTCTGCTAGATTGTCATATTTGTGATGACAATCAACACTCACTCTAGTCACATAAGGCCTGCTTGCCTTGATTCTTCTTCTCCAACTCCCTTAATTGTTATGACTCCCGCTAGAAGGATTGTCCATGTCGAGATTGGTTCACTTTCTTGTTCTTCCTTGTGAGCCTTCTAGGGAGGACGTCCTGGACCCACAATTATGATTTATTTTTGTTCTTCAATTCTTATTAACTCTTCAACAAATTATGAGGATATTAGAAATTATTTTATAATGCACATGATTTTTCTGAAACACATGGCATTTTGATGTATCACAAGGATTTGGTTTTGCTTGGGTTTGTTTTGGTTGGCAATAATAGTTATTATTGTAGATCAATGGGGAGGAGTGAAAGTTTAGTATTGCTAAGAATGGGACATTTTCACTATCTTTCAACATCATATTTTTGGCGTTGCCTTCATTAAAATGTACTTTCTCATCTGGTTTTTATCAATTATTTAGAGGTCCACTTTGTTGGTTTTGAGGATTTCACAAGTTTTTTAATGAACTAGTTATATGGCCATGAGGATTGTGCTATAATAATAAGTTATAAACATCCACGGTGATGTAGTTGTTGGCCAGTTTAACTAACTCATCTAACCTTCTTGGCTGTTGTACACGAAGTGCATGTCTAAGAAAAACTTTCTTTAAGTACTTGTGCAATGTGACTTGGGCTGCTGTTATTTTCAAGTATTTAACTGTTAGCATTTTAGGCTGGAAATCAATTAAGAAATATCAAAATGAGTCACATTGCTCTACTCATATTCAGAACAACTTTTGAATTTATCAATGTTTTATGGCCACTGGCGAATTGAGTCATAATTTGTAACTAAAAATCAAGATAATAAGATATATTTGCCAAGGGGGGTGTAAGAACTATCTTAATGACCCCTCCTTGGAATTATTAAATATTAATCGACAATTTGGCAAATTGTCGATTTTAAGAAGAGAAATTGTTGATTCAAAACAGGCTTCATGCTTCACATGGTTTGATTTCTCTCTTTAAAGGTTGAGATGGGGGATTTCAAACTCTGAAAGAGGTGAACCTCAGTGATTTCAATAGAAATTACATTGGCAGTTTGATTTCAATGCTTCTGGCACAATGATAAAGTGATGTTTTTGATAGTACTTTTTTCTGGGTTATAAGTTTTATCGGACACTAAAGTAGATTTGAGAGCTTTGATTCTTTGTTGATGTCGCCGTATACATTAGTTAGTAAATTCTTGCTCTTAAGCAGGCTCAACATGAGGAGCAATTTGCTAAAATTGCTCTAGAATTCTTTGAATCGCTATCTTAAAATGGCTTTCTATTTAATTGAGTTGTCTACAATTATGAAATCTAGTTTCTTGATTTTTGGGCGTTTCATGGCTTGGATTTTTATTGTTGCCACATTCACACTCTCTGCACCTTTATCAACATTTGCTAAGTCCTTTCTCTAACCTCTTTTCAGACTCTTTTGAGCTCTATTAATTCCCTATTTATGATTTTTTTTATTCAAATTCAACATTACAAAAACAGCTACAATCAGTAATTATAAGAAAGTTTGCATAAAATATGTTTAATGAAGCATGTTGTGAAGTGGAAAAGATCTAGAATGCTATTAGTTGTCCAAGTACTTGATGACTTCTATAGAATTTCACATGGACACTTAATTCATTGATTCAGTTCTCTTGGAGAGTCTGCCTAGAGTAGGCAGTTAGCGTTCTGTCCAGTTTTTTTTTTTTGTTGAATTTGCTTGAATGAGTGAGTAGTCTTTTGACGGATTGATGACTTTAGATGCCAAATTCTATAGGTGAGTGGAGCCTTTTCTCTTGACTTTATAATGAGAAGCTTTGTTGGATAAATTTAGGTTTTGTGCAACTTCAATTCAACTTTGAATAACTTTAATCTTGGTGGATACCAAGTTGGTTTATGGTTAGCACCTTATTGAATATAATTTATACTATATAGCAGCTTCATTGACCACATACCTAATGGTTTTGGGTGTATAGGTATATAAATATTAAATTTTTAGCCCTCTCCTATAGGCTTAATGTTTTGGTTTAACGATAGTTTCAGGTTGAATTTTGATTGTATTTGATCCACAGTCTCTAACAAATTGCATTAAAGCTAATGGTTTGATTGAGATTAAGTGGTTCATTTAGCTGTGACTCCTATGGATCTTAATGCTTCCATTATGGTTGAGCAAGGCTCAAGTGTCGATATGTCTCACATTAGATCAACATAGTTAACTGAGCTATTGGTACATTATATTTGCTGATACTTCTATTTAATATGAAGTAATAGTCAATATGGCTGTTCTCAGTCAAGGGGGAGATTTTAAAGCAGATTAGGTTCTAGTTTAGTTTCTCTTCAAATATTTGAAAGAAATCTATTAGTGTAGAAATATAAAATTGTTGGTGCTAAATCACAGGCTTATGTTTTTGCGGTATAAATGAGTTTTACCATTGGTGTATATAACCGGAATGTAGTCCTTCAATTTACATACTCAACAAGCACCATCGTTGACTTAAACTATATGACTGGCTCTATTTAGCAACATCTTCATCATTGGTTTATGCCAATTATTTAGGATTTTAGCTTTATCAATCCCTCCCCTCTCTGTATAGTCAGTTTCTAATGATCGGTTTGCCAACTTAGCACTCATAATACTGTTTCTAATCACACTGGATGCGTTAAAGAACTCAGGATTCTTTTTTTTTTTTTTTTTTTTTTTTGAAATTTCAGTTGTCAAACTTTTTCGTTGAGATTTTGAATTTCATAATGAAGCATTCTGTTAACTGACTTCTTATGCTTTTCCAATAGCTTGTGTTTGCAATATTTTCAACCATAATTTGGCTATAGTTGCTTTTTAAATCGTGATGGTTTTTTCCTCGGTTTAACTAAAGCATCACTTGTAACTCCTGTGGCGCAATGTCTAAACACGCTGGATTTACTGAGATGTAATCTGTTCTACTTTTCGTTATCTATGGTTTTTGGTGTTCTTTTCCTTAAAAGTTTGTTGCTTAAATATCATTAACATGGGGCTCTAATTTATGGGATAATCCGGCTATTTAATTTTTTAATATGCCTTTATATATAATAGATACATATAGAGACCTCTTTTATTTGATGTTTTTCATGATAAACATTTAATTTATGATAATTGATTTATATGTCCCATTAAGAAAAAAATTTCCCTGCACACGCAGAAAATTGCAAATTCATTGCTGTTATTCTTAAAGCAGGTCAGATTTGCTTGTTTTGAGAGATATTTAGAAGAATGCGCCATGCTTGGGTCGATATATTTTGTAATCTTATTGATAGAAAAGAGGCTTTTTATTTCAGCATGATCTACCTACTATTTTGCTCACAGATTCATATTACCGGTGATCAAAATAACTACAGTATTGTAAGGAACTCTAAAATTTGGTTTGCTTTTCATCAGATTCTTGTGCGCCAATTTGGTAAAGGCCATATGAGATTACTTTACGTTTTCATCTTTTATTTTGTTTACTTTATGTTTCAATATCCCCCACTTAGTGGGATAAAGAGTTGTTGTCGTCGTCGTCTTCGTCTTTATGTTTCAATATCACATAAAAATATTTGTGATAATCTAAATTTGTATCATTTTTGTTTGTTTTTTTTTTTTAATTTGAAAATTGCATTAGATAGTTATGGTGGTTGGCAATGGGTTCGGCTATGACAACTGCGGTGGTGATCAGCCGCTATTTGTGACTGATGTCGTTTTCATTTAATAAAAAATTGAAACATTCAAGAAAACCCAAGCTTTTTTTCAAATTTTAAAATTAGATTGATTTGTTTTCAAAAATAAAATAAGAAGATAAATAAAAATTACGAATCAATCTTATTTTTTGAAAATAAAGACAATAATGGTTTTAAACAGCCCTGAATTTCTTGTTTTTTAATCTTTAAATGTTACCAAACTTTTTGTTGCAGCATTTATGGACAAGGGGAAGTTTCTATTGGCAGCACGGAGGTTTAGACGCGGGTACCGTACTGAATTCATCATTTCCCTTGATGCTGATGATCTCTCTCAAGGAAGCAATCCATACATGGGGAAATTAAGGTTAGGCTTCTTATCTGTTTCTACTCCACACATAATGATTAGCTCAACTATTTCATTACGGTGGTTGTGATAATCTATTTAGTTCTGTCGAAATTGGGGTTGCAAATGCGTTGAACCTAGCTTGGTTCACCCTTATTTTGAGTTTGAGCTGAATAAAATAATAAAGTTAAAATTTGAACACAGTTCTATGAGTTTGAGCCGGCTCATCAGCTGGATTTTTTTTTTTTTTTGAAAGGGGGGAAAATAATTTTAATTGTTGTAATAAAATGGTGAAGAAAGTAAGAAATTGTATGAAAAATAATAAAAAATAATTTAGTGTAAGGAAATGAGGAATAAATTTTAAATGTTTTTAGCAAATTTGTCTTTAAACTCTTGAATTTTAATTTGCTTCAAGTGTTTTTTATATTTATGTTAATTACATGAGCCAACCAACGAGCTAACGAGTCGAGTTAGAGCTAGCTCAAGCTTTAGCTCAAAGCTCATCGAATTTGTCTCACAAGCCATTTATCAAGTCAAGCCTGAATTGGCTCACAAGTTAGCTAGACTCAATTATATCCGTAGTTAAAATTTCTCTTTGCTTTAAATGATTTTTACACAAGGGGGAAAATAATCCTACTTATCATATGACCTTTCTTTCCTATAATTTGAGACTTAAATGAGTGTTTTTTATAGATGGTTTTTATAAACTTAAAATATGAGCAAATCTGTTCTCTGTACTTCTGCGTCGGTATTTTTATTAATTTTTGTTGAAATATCTAATTTAAATTACAGGATTTATTGTCTTTCCTGTTAAAACTTATACAACAACAGCAACAAAACCTTGATCCTACTATGTGGGGTCGGCTACATGAATCCTTTTTCTCCATTGCGTCCTATTTAGTGTCATATTTTCATTTAGTTCTAGATTTAGTTCTATTCATTTAGTTCTAGCAAATTAAGATCATTTTTAATACAATAAGCCCAAGTCTTTCTAACTTATAATAGAAAATAATTTATTCCTAGTTATGAGGAATAAATTCTTTCATTAATATAAAGAGATATTTTCTTTTCATATATTAGGAATTATTTATTTTCTAAATATATATTGTTTTCTATTATCTCCTAATAATTAATATGAATTAATTATTAGAGATATCAGATGATATATCGTTCCTTTCATATCATTTTTTTTTATTTTTCTTATTTTAAGATTTTTGTAAGGGTTATTGATATCTCCGTTCATATAAATAAAAATATTCCGAAGTATTCAATATTCCGCATTTTTCTGAATTTCAACATGGTATCAAAGCCTAGTTTCGCACTCTAGCAACCTACCCTCCTTTGAGAATTGACGGACTCCCTTCCTGCCATCCTCTGTGTAGGAAGGGAGGAGAATAACGATTTTTCTCCAGACCCCATGTAACGCGGCTCTACGGCGGTTTCCCCGATACTTGCTGCGAGTGCATCAACTTCACGGTGGGGTTGGTGATCTCATGGTACTCGTCCAACTTAGGCGTGCTTCTTCTGAACAAGTATTTGTTGAGCAATTACGGCTTCAAGGTTCCTATCTTCCTGACTATGTGCCACATGATGGTATGTTCGCTGCTCAGCTACGTCGCCATCGCCTGGTTAAAGCTCGTTCCGATGCAGGCCATGAGATCTCGTCTCCAGTTCATCAAAATCGCAGCACTCAGCTTTGTATTCTGCGGATCTGTCATCAGCAGAAACATTTCACTGTGTTTTCTCCCTGTATCCTTCAACCAAGCCGTCGGCGCCACTACTCCCTTCTTTACAGCGGTGTTCGTCTATACCATGACGTTGCGGCTGGAGGCGTGGATTACCTACGTCACGTTGGTCCCCGTCGTCACCGACATTATTATAGCCAGCGAGGGAGAGCCAAGTTTTCACTTATTTGGATTCATCATGTGTATTGGTGCTACTGCTGCAAGGGCACTGAAATCAGTGTTTCAAGAGATTTTATTATCTTCTGAAGGGGAGAAACTGAACTCAATGAATCTTCTGCTATTTATGGCTTCAATAGCCGTTGTGATTTCAATTCTCATTTTTCGGAATTCGGTCTCCATCATCAGCGTCTTCTCCTTCTGAAGCTCCGGAGATTGCAACTCCATCCTCTTCTCCTTCTGAAGCTCAGGAGATTGCAACTCCGTCCTCTTCTCGCAAGCAAAATCTCCGTCGCCTCCGTCAGCTTCTTCTGTAGCCCCAGCCGATGGTTCAGATGCATCAGGGCTTCAACCTACGGCCGGATCTACTGCGGCGCCAACATCGAGTTCCCAGGCGTCCCTCTCCACCACTCCAACGCCGAGCAATTTGCTTTCCAGGCTCCGATAAGTTGAACGAAGCCTTTACCTTTGAGAGTTGTATTCCATTTATTCCTCATCACCAACGCCACCTTACACTTTGAAACCTCGATCCCCTTCATCGCCATCTCCGAGTTCCCTTGCAGTCACTGTCGCCAGTTCTTCCAGGAGATCTGATCGGCCTCTCAGATCCAGATATCCGCCCCCGCCCACTTTCTGATTTCTTACCTAACCCTTTCGGTCCTTCCAATCTGCTTCATGAAGACGTTCCCATGCTTCTCGAACCCCACGATCTGATCGAGAAGGTTGGGGAGTTTGGTGAGGAATTGGAGCAGCTGAGGAAGGCGGCGGTGCAGGCCACTAGGGATGTGTTCGTTCGCGATGGCAGATGCACCGTACAGCGGCAGCATGTCGGGTTTCGCGATGGCAGATGGACAGGGGAAGGAGTTTGCAGAATTGTATACGGAATCAGCGGCGTATAATCCGAGTTTGGGACCTATTCAGGCGGCGATGGGGGAGGTGTTCCGGCGGCACTAACTCCATCTTCCAATTTGATGTCAACTCCGACTCCATACTCAACGCAAATTCTCTCTGTCTCTATATTCACTCTCGAAACAGGCTTCTTTAGCAGATTATTCCCTACCTTAGTCAACCCCTCCAGGTTCTCCTTTGTTGATACATCCACAGAAGCTAAATCTCCACTCAATGTATCATCCTTAAGTCGAAGATAATTTTTCTCAGAATGCTGAGTTTGGAAAAGTATGGATGCTAATATATCAGCCATGTCTGCACTACCTTGGGAGTACATATCTATCATAGGCGCATGGCCATTATAAAAGAGCCATGGATGAATACCCCACTTAGCTGCATTCTTTGCATCATACTTCACTTCAAATTTAGCAGCTCCAGAAACATGGTATATTTTACAGATTTTACAGGAAAATTTTCTTGTAACTGCTTGAATATGTTCTTGCTCACTAAATTTATTGCCAGCCGGCACCAGCGATGCCGCCACTCTCATCATCATCTCGCTGTAAATATCACTATCGTGGATCGGACAAGCCGTCCATTTCTCTTGCAGGATTTTTTCTTCCCTGCCCAAGCGATTTATTGCCAGCCGGCACCAGCGATGCCGCCACTCTCATCATCATCTCGCTGTAAATATCACTATCGTGGATCGGACAAGCCGTCCATTTCTCTTGCAGTATTTTTTCTTCCCTGCCCAAGCGTCAGGGGGAGCTGCGTTTCTAACCGGACCTTCTCCAAGTAGCCATCAAAACCGGAGACCTCTCTACATTCTTCTCTGCATCCGGCAATTCCTGTAGCTTCTGTTGCACCTCGCTTTTTCCCTATGCAGACGCCGCCAATCGTCGGAGTCAATTTTTGCAGCCTTTGTTGTGCCTCAATTTTTTCCTTGCGTAGGTGTCTGGTTCACTACACCATTACGATTTTAGCGGTTTTCCCTGCGTAGGCATTTGGGCAACTGCAAGCTTGCATTTTCAGCAAACAGCGGTGCAAATCACGGAAGACCTCCAGTTGAAATCCCAGTTTTCACTCTCTGGTGGAAATCATTGCCCCTCGTAAAACCGCATAGAGCACTGACTTCCCTGCGGGCTCTCCCACGGTTGTTTTCCCTGCAGTTTTTTCAATCGCAGATCCTTCTTGCGGGACCTTCCAATCGTCGGACCTCCCGATTTCCTTCCAGGACCGTTGAAGTGCCTACCTACAGCGGGACCCATCCCTTGTAGTATGTGTATGTATGTATATATATGTATGTATGTGTATATATGTATATATATATATATATGTATGTATATATATATATTAAGTATTATATATAAAAAATCTAATTGACTGCAAGACTACAAAGATTTATAATCAATTAAATTATTGATTAAAAAAATAGAATAAAAATTATTAAATTAGATTCAAATGATGTTGTAATATAAATAATAATTTTTAAATCTTGCTCAAACCCTTATTGTCTTATGACTACATCATTAGGGTTATTAAAATGACT